GTCCCCCGCTGGGGGTGAAGATAGGACTTTGCAACCCTACTGTGTGAACATGTACATTTTTCTTTTCAGAGGTTTAGCTGAATTCATAATGGCTCCACAATGACTTTTCTTGTTTCTCTCCCATTCTTTTACTCCTTTTCTTTTCACGTAGTTCTCTCATTGTCAAGGATGTCAGTTCTTGGCACGGGAGGACCAGGGAGCGTGTTTTCCTAGAAATGTTTGTGGCTACACGCCCCAGTTTCCCAACTGCTCTTTCATTTGGAAACTTTTACTTGTAGTTTTGCAAGGATTCAGCAGGTGGCAACTGAGACAGCCTGCAAGTTATATAAGTGGATACAGGAAACATCCTCTCCAAAGGCAGGAGGAGTGAAACGGAGTAACTTTGCATTCCTAGCTTCCAGGCACAACTGCTGTTGTGTGGGTTTGTGGTGATCAGAGGTGAGTAGGCAGTGGGGACGGAGATACTTGGCATTCTCTGGCATGCAGACCGTTTAAGTCCTGCCATTTTTTACTGCTTTTCCTTTGAAAGGACATTTAACATTGTTGTAGGTCAAAGTTCAGGCTTTGCAGTGGGAAAAACTGATTTTGAACTAAATTACTTTCTTGAGCAGTAATTTCTGCCAAGTTCTCGTAGCTGGCAACTTTCAGTGTTTAGCATCTGCTCGCCTCTTTGTGCTTATGTAGGAGTTTCAGAGTGACTGTCTTTTGAGCCTTTCGGTTCATTTTCAGGAGGATAAACGCACTGGCACAGCATTAATTCTAATGGATCTTCCTTACTTTAACCAGTAGCAGGTACTGGGTGAATTGATGTTTGTATGTCTGAATTGTTTTAATGTTGTTCTGGTTTATTTCCCTATCTTAATCTTCATGCATGTTGAGTATTACTGTTGGCTATAGGATGGTCATTAGGTGTTTTACCAATTGGTAAGGAGGCAACAGCAGCAGGAGGCTTTGGACCATGGGCTCCCTGAAGGTATCTGGTTGGCTGCTGTGAGAAACAGGCTAGATTAGGTGGATCTTTTGTCAATTCTCTTAATATTAATCCATAAAACTGAAATTCATAATATGCTTTATCATTTTGGCACTGCCCTCCCTGGCTGTTTTACAGGCTATTCCTGCCTTCCCCCGGCATACTGAAATCCTGGATTCTTTTCATATAACTTTAACCTTTCAGTCCTAGAATCACCAGCTGTCCAGTGCTCCCTCTAAGCTGTGGAGTCTGGTCAGCAAAAATTCTACTTTGTGAGCTACTGGTATTAAAGTTGTGAGTGAGCGATTTGGCTGCTGCATAAATTAGTTTGCTCTGGAGTCATCCTTCCTGAACTAAGACAAATATCTGTGAGCTGGAGGCTAAAAAACTGTGAGCTAGCTCACACTAACTCAGTTTAGAGGGAACACTGTGTACGACGGTTGAAAATTGTTGATTGTTGCTCCATCAGCACAGTGATAAAGCTTGCAGTTCTGGCATCCCATCCTACTTCATAGTCACCATTGCAGGATCAGGCTGGGGACGGGGTTTTTTTTTTTGTATTTGCACCTAATACATCAGAGCTTGAAACAGGGGGCTTCCTTCATTGGAATACTGCTTCAAAAAGTGTTTATGGATCTAGAAGTGGGGAGTTAAACATCTAAATTCATGTGTGATGCTGATCTTTTCGTCTGCTATCAGAACAGTTACTTCTGGCATCATACTGGTATTCTAATGCAATGCAGAGTTAAAAGCACATGTGGCTTTAGTGGGTTTGAGTTTTGCACCATGAGAAGTTGTGGGTATGTAACTGTGTGTTGGTGACAGGCACTGCACACACTTCCTTATTGCATTGCCATGATAATGAAAGAATTCTGATAACAGAGTGGATTGTTTCCTTCTTGTCCAGAGTGAAAAATTACAGCTGTGTAATTTACAGATTTGCAAGGGAAGGATTAAAATTTCAGAGTGAGTAGCACAGTATTTTCTATTACAACCAATCAAAAGCCCAAATAAAAGGTGCCAGGAGTCTGCAAGCCCCATAACTTACCCCATTTTTTATAAGGTGATAGTTTACTGGCCATGCATATTTTACTCTAATGATCAGCATGGTAATCAGACTTGTATTAATGGCTCTTTTCATAGCCTTATT